GGATAACATCCAGAGCCACCTCTCGACTGTGAAAATGATCATTTCAGTTGTAAGAGTAGACCCATCAATTTTGGATCAAGTTCGCCTGAAACTGTAAAGATGAATCCTTCAGATTACGGGAATAGACCTTATTTTTCGGTCTTGCTAAAGTATCAAGCAAACGGCCAAAAATCCTTCGGCATCGAAAAGTGGTCCCTGTGTAACTTTTTCTGTATCCACATCCTCACACACTAATCGAAATATGTGAAAATAGACTGTACGAAAGATTATAATTGGATAATTCCTATATTTCGGAAAGCAACATCAGTCAAATATTATTAAGAAGGAACCGAGTTTGTAAGGAAACTGATTGTAAGCGAGAATATGTACGCGTGAATGCGTGTACGACCGACCATGCCGCATGCCTGCAAATCAAACCCGCCATCAGTTTGTTTGTAATCAACCCTCAGAGAAATAAGCCATCGACAGTCCAGCCAGCGAGTGATTGCTGTTGGCATTTGCTACCAATGGCTTCACTGAGAGTGAAGTACGAAAAGGTTTTGACTTTTGTTTTGACCTGCAAAAACGCATAAAAAGCTCTCGCTGCAAAACGACGCAAGTGGTACATTTATTAGTGCATCGATCAGCTAGCAAGTGATCACCAGTACTGTACAACAAATAATATTCTGTACAGAGGGAACAACTAATACACTTCTGAACTACGCATACTTCATGCACCACAGATTGCAAAAGGCCTAACTGGGTTGAATTTGCTTACACCGGCTTCATCTAAAAGCCTAGTAGTGTGGGCTCAAGCAGTTCAAAACAGAAATGCTTTATATATTCATTAAAGAGACGACAAGATGTCGACTGGGTTGGATCAGATGAGCCCACTTTCGCCCTCCAGATTTGCGACATTAAAATTTTTCGTGGTTTTCATCAGTTCCACATTTCTGCTCTTCTCCTCGCTAATTACGTTATCGCCGATGCCGGGCAACGTCGATTTGCCGCCACTGTTCGGCTTGGAGCTGCAACTTCAAAATTAACTGATGTCTTCGAAGCTCGGAAGGAAAAGTGCCGAGAATAATTCGCTCGTATTGGACCCTCTCAGAACAATCTCCCATCTCCCTTCTCTCCATGCTTCCCCTCGCATTTTTACAGTTTCTTGCCAGTTAAATAACTGTCCCATAAAATTATTGTCCAACAGCATGCAGGAATAAAATCATCATAAGGGTCATCTCAGGATGAAGCCGTCGAAAAAACTAAGGTGCAACTCGACAGCTGAGCCAAACGCACTTCGTTTGTGCTAAATATTGTAATCTGCAGAAATTTTATAAAATCATAATTTATAATAAATTATTCAGCGACGGAAACAGACTAATGCAACAGAGCCTTGCCCTCACCCAGCCTTGCTCAGGTTGCTCGCTTCATGTTTTCTCAGCCC